TCTGACATTGACAATTTGCGCAATTAATTTCCAGTTGTCAGTTAAAATTTTAATATTATGTAAAATACTGTTAAATAAAATTTGAAATAAAAACAATCGTAGAAAAAATGTTGCGTGCAACATGTGCAAAAAGCATATTTGTTGCACTTAACATGATTGCAGCTCTCAACTTCGTCTCGAGCTGCAAACTTCATGCATCGTACAACAAATACACACTCTTTACAGTAGTTGCACAAATAACTGTTTGAATGTCGCAGAAACTTTTATTAAATAGAAGTACAATGAAAACGAAACTAAGAAATAATTTATTATCAAAAAGAGAAAAAACAAAAAACTTAGTTAAAGGACATTTTCAAAATAATTGCCATTTCTTTCTAAACACAACCTAACACGTTTATCAAAGTTGTTACGGACTCGAGCAAAAGTTATGGGATTGTTGCGAATCTCATCAACCGCCGCGAATATTCTTTCCTGTAGCTCTTCAACACTGTCAACTGGGGTCGCATAAACAATACTTTTTATGTCCCCAAAAGAAAAAATCCATGGACGTTAGATCGGGAGAACCTGCAGGCCAAGAGATAGGTGCCTCATTGCCGCAACCTATCCAACGATTCGGGTAATTTAAATTAAGCCACCGCCTAACTACTACACGTCATGGATGTACCACATGGCCTGACGTACATTTAATGGTACTTCCTCCAGAAGTGGTGGTAGATGCTCATTTAAGAACTGCAAATATTCAACAGCACCAAGTCGATGAGGTAAAACAAAAGGGCCGACAAGCACATTTCCTATAATTCCTGCCCAAATGTTTAAACTAAAATTATGTTGAAATGTTGTCATAGATACTTAGTGAGGATTTTCAGGAGCCCAGGAATGAAGATTGTGCATATTGGTATATAATAAATTATCATAGACAATATTCCAAACAACACTATGGGACACATTTAAGTACATTTCTGTTTTTCTCGTACTAGTCTGACGACTTTCGTCAAACTCTTCAAGTACTGCATCCTCAAGATAAATAGTACGAACAGTAGGTCTTCGGCCGGTACCCTCAAAATACGGCTGAATTTTTCCAGTTTCCCGAAGTCTTCGTTCTACCGCCGAAAAAGTTTGTCTGTGGGGAACTTGACGATTTAGATATCTCTTATTATACGCTCTTGTTGCCGTAGCACAGTTTTTGCGACATTCAAAATACACTTGTAGCATGTCCACATATTGATCATTAGTAAAATTGGCATAATTCTTGTTAGTTTACACCCAAGAAGTATTTAGCTGATAACAGTGAAATCTTACAGAAGAGTTAATTGTGACAACTGGCATGACAGCAGCACACTTAGTTTATCTTTGATTGATTGCAATCATATACGGTGTGAGGTGAATGGTAATACATTTTATTTGTTTATTAATAAACGAAAAGTTTTAAAGGAAAATTGTTAGAGAGGTAAAAGTTTCTAAAAGAACCAGTTTATCTAATGCGTATTTTTGGATATCGAGTTTTTACGAAATATAAAAGTTATGAGTAGGGTATTTTAACCAATGGCTTGAGGGGTGGTTATTTCAACCCCTTTCGAGGAGTTAAAATTTTCGAAAAATAGTTGAAAACTCGCATCTGTATTAGTAAACAACCTGTAAAAAATTTGTTGTTTGTACCTCGTTCGGTTTTCAAATTACAGCCAATTTTAATTATTTTTGGAAACTTTGATGGCCCATATCTCTTCAGGGGTGAACATTTTACTAAGGCGATTTTTTGCAGATCGTGTTCTTTTGAAATGTAGATTCACTGGTATCATTTATGCTACTCCATTCAAAAACACCCTGTATATTATTAATAAAACGTTAATTATAAAAAATAATTACATACAGCTATAGTACGAATTTTTTAAATATTTTTAAATTGTATTTTACATATGTAAATGAAACAATAAAAAATTTACATTTAAATAATGAAATTTTAGTACCTATAGAGCGAAATATAGTATAATTCTAACCTGCACTATTTTTTTTGCTCATCCTCGATAATTATATCTCCAAGGGAAGAGGGCAGCTGTTCACTCTCGAACCATTTGAAAATAAATTTGTCCCCCTTCTCTTCCCAGCCGAAATCAGTAGGATATAATTCTGTTGGGACCTGAAAATGAGCATGTCCCAAATATTTGCGATGTACTTTGTCCGCAGCAAATGTCGAAGCAGTTCAATTTTATGTTATGTATATAAGTATTTAAATGTGAATATTTATTTATTAAAGCTCTTTAAATTGAAAAACTCGTGAAATCGTTTATTGTAAATAAATATTCGAAAAAAGTTGTATATTTTTATTTAATTACTAGTAAGACTTGAAATATGGAAACAATAATAGATATCTCCTACCGCAAAAGCTGAAATTTGGTAATACAATATCTAACTTAATAAGTTAAATGAGAAAAATGCTCAGCTTTATATTTAGTGATTAAAAAGTGCTCAGCTGATAAAGTTAAAGATGCAATGCGCCCGCGCGCATAGCGATGTGCTGCACTTTCAGCTCGTCTACTGAGCACTTATACACGGCAAAAATATCAACGGACAATTTTTTCCGTATAACTGATTAAGATGACTATTACTTTACCAAATTTCAACTTTTTCGGTATCAGTTTACCTAGCGAATATTTTTGAGTTGTTTAGGTGAAAATCTGAGGCATAACCCCCCACTCTAAAGTCAGCTGATTGCGTTTTTTCGTTTGTTCATAACATAATTAACTTGTCGAGAAAGTCTCAGCTTTTGCGGTATTAGTTTTTTTATTTTATTATTTACGTGTTTGGGATGCTGTTGCAGCTACACCCCCCGGAACTGCGCGAGCTGGAGGTCGATTTACTTACTAGTGATACCAAATGAAGCGTAGGAAAAATTTTCAGCTTTTGCCAAATGACTAACTCAAAACGGTCGCTGGCTCCCGGACTATATCTGGCCTACCTGTCTCACGAACATTTTTTTTAAATTTGATAATAGCGATATCATTGTAACGTCCTGTATTATAGGGATCGTAACCAGGATGGGTAATTACTTTGTCAATTCTACGACTCTGAGTATTTTTGACACACATATTTTCAGAGCAATCCGTAGTAGTTTTAATATCATGTTCTCCCAACAAAACTGAAGTTCTGGAAAGTGATACCAAAAATTATTACGCTTTTTCTCCAATAGTATGATAACATGAAACAAGGAAAAGGAAAAAACTTTGTAGTGCATTAAAACAATTTGTTCTAATGAATACATTATTATAAATTTTTTTTCTCACACTTCTGGATTTTCTATAGCCGGCTAATTAAAAAATAATAACAGATACATACAGGGTGTTCCAATTAAAACTTCCCACCTGGAAAATATCAGAATTAAAAAAAAAACAAAAAAAACTGAGACACGTCGATTTTATTTTCCGATATTTTCCAGATAGGAAGTTTTAATTGGAACACCCTGTATAACTAGGTATATCGATCACTTCATTTAAGGTTATTTAATGCATCGAAAATAAATCTGTTTACGTTTTCAAAAGCTTTTTTCGTAAAAGTGAAACAAAAATCTTAGAAAAAGATCTGGTATATCAAGATACCACAAGTATATGGATTTATGTAATTTGATGATCATTTTTTGTATTATACAGGGTGGGCCATTAGTGTGAGAAAGTAAAATAGCTCTCCTGTTATTCATAATACCGAAAAAAAAGTTTATATAAAAGTTATACAGAATCAAAGAACTTAAAGGACAAAATTAATATGAAACACACAGGGCGATAAGTAAAAACGGGACACGCCAAATATTACATTTTTTAAGTGGAACACCCTGTATATTTTTAATCTTATGGATTCTGAGAAAATTCTATATATGGCAATATAAACAGTTTAATACTTTGGTGCGGGGTTACCAAGTTATGTAGAATATTCTTCGAATTTTGGAAAAAACATGACCTCGAAGAAGTTGTATTAACTTTCAAGTACTAACATTAGGAGCAAAAATATTTGACACAATTATAGGAAAAAGTTAAGCAAAAACTCATATATATTTGCTATTACCGATATTTTGTACAGGGCATTTTTTTGTAATACGATCATTTTAAGAAAGTTCAAAGTTGATTTTCTAAAATGTTTTAAGTGGAATACCCTATATTTTATTGTTCTATTTTATTCACAAATCAGTCCACTTCAACTTTTATTAAGTATGTTCTACACCTAAAGTTGTTAGTTTTTAAGATACAGCAACATATCTGGAAAAACCTAATTTTTATTATTTTCGGTCGCGCGAAATGGTTTTGAAAAAAAATGTCACATTGTGTCAACTTGTCAGTTCATAATTTATCATTCCATTTTGAGTTAATTTTATTAGTTAATGTTTATTTGTATTCTTTAAAATAATACAAATTAAGTTTTTCCAGAAATGTTGCCATATCTTAAAAATTAACAATTTTGGATATAAATATATGTGAATAAAATAGAACAATAAAATACAGGGAGTTCCATATGAAAAATTTTAGAAAATCATGTTCAAATTTTCTAAAAATGATCGTATTATAAAAAATGCCCTGTATAAAATATCGATATTAGCTAATATAGGAGTCTTTGTCTAACATTTGCCTATAACTTAAATATTTTTGCTCCAAATGTTAGTAGTTGAAAGTTAATACAACTTCTTCGAGGTCATGTTTTTTCCAAAATTCGAAGAGTTTTCTACATAACTTGGCAACCTCGCACTAAAATGATAAACTGTTTACATTGCCATATATACAGGGTCGGAAAGTCCTCATGGTTCATCGGCCGTTACGTGAGAGCGATAGAGTTAGTCATAGAAATCCGTGCGATAGAGAAAGATGGCTATAATGAAGGCGTCTAATAGTCACCGCCCATTTCGCCCTTCCACAAATAAGAAGTGGATCTTTCTCTATCGCACGTATTTCTTGACTTTCTTTATCGACCCTGTAGAATTTTCTCAGAAATCCATATGTTTAAAAATATACAAGGTGTCCCATTTAGAAAATGTAATATTTGGCGTGCCCGTTTTTACTCATGGCCCTGTATGTATCAAATTAATTTTGTAGTTTCGATTTCCTGATTCTATATAACTTTTATATACTTTTTTTCTGTATTATGAGAAACAAGGGAGTTATTTTACTTTCTCACACTAATGGCCCACTCTGTATGTCTAAAGTGCATTCGCAGATTTAAGAAAACTACTACCTGCGTCGACCTGAGTTCAGTTAATGTTAATCTCTTCCAGGAAACCAATTTGTAGTTTAAATGTTTTTGATAATAGATAATCGGACATCACCAGTATTCCGTGACTTTCGTTGTCAGCTAAAAATAATGATTCCTGTTTGGATTGCCATGAAAAGACCACAGCGGAGTTATTTCAAAATTGGTTTCTTCGATACGGTGGAATTGTCATGGATGGTGCGATATATGATCTTTATTCAAAAGGTGATATATTCATTAGGTCTTATGACCTAATAATATATCCTCCTTTTTAAATGCTAGTGTAATTAGATCTTACTTTCTGTGTCAAAACATCCTCTAAATAGAAATAAAATCTTGAAATACAATTTAGTGCAGACCTCTTTATCGACCATTGTAACAAAAGCCGGGACGTGTAGTCAGTTATTTATTAGTTCTCGGAAGGATGGGCCAACGAAAATGTTTCAGTCATCACAAATTATCGAAAGTTGAGGGCTTTCAAATAGGTAGTCCTTCGGAGAAGTTTGCTAATATTTTTAACGAGTTTACTTAAACTGTCGGAGCCATGTGTTAAGCGTCTAGTATCAGAGAAAATCGATATTTTTAATAACGCGCGAAACCGCGAGAAGAGCGTAGGGGTTCCAAAGTAGAATTAAATTAAATTGTGAAATAGATAGTAATTGGACAAGAAAGTCACAGATTAAGCAGCTGGCTTTTTTGACGGAATTTTCCAAGCTATAAGAGTAAATTAAATGAGATCGACTAATCCGTCCTGTAATTGCTACGCAGAGTCACTAGAGGAAGGCTAGGGTTACTAATAAGTCACATAATTATTGATATAAATGTAAAGTCAAGTCCATTAGACAATCATTAACATGACATAGTTATGCCAGAGCATTCCGACATTCAGGCTCCCGCCAATAAGCTAAGAACAGAAACTTCTGGACCCAAGAAATGGGCGTGTCAAAGCGAAGTATGGAATTCGAGAAAGACTGCAAGAAAGGCAGTTCTTCCTTAGATATCACATTAAGCAGTCTAATTAACTGTAGAGTCTCGGGCTAATTAATTAAATTTAATAATGGATAAAGTTTTTTCCAAATACGCTGTCGCGTGTAGATCAATTAATTAATAATNGGACCCAAGAAATGGGCGTGTCAAAGCGAAGTATGGAATTCGAGAAAGACTGCAAGAAAGGCAGTTCTTCCTTAGATATCACATTAAGCAGTCTAATTAACTGTAGAGTCTCGGGCTAATTAATTAAATTTAATAATGGATAAAGTTTTTTCCAAATACGCTGTCGCGTGTAGATCAATTAATTAATAATGTTGTTCGAACCGTTGTGTTGTCATTTTGTTTGTTTGTTTTGTTTATTGTTATTAAAACCCTTCATGGAAGTTTTGGTGTTTCTTTTTGTTTCTCCAACTTCAGTGTCACCCTGTATAGCCAGCCACTGGATTACATTCCACTAAGCGATGAATGGTAAGTGCTTGGAACTAATTCTCTGAACATACAACATTTCTAAGTTCCCACGTATTAATTAAAGTATAATGATAATTATAAACTCCCTTTCGAGAATTAAATAGATAATTAATTAAAAGTAGATAATTAAAGAAATAACCCCTCAGGTTACACCATGCTGGTGGAAACCTGACGTAAGTACTAATTCTCTTACATCTACGAATGAACTTTACAAGGAGTTTCCTTCTTATGCGAAATCACCTCCACCGATATTTTATACTAGTTAGGAAACTTATTGCGTGTATTTATTTATACGTACATCGGTCCTCTTTTTTCGTTAATGGAAACTGGATGTGTACAATGGGCCGCTGTGATGGCGTACTTAGGGTGTATCAAAAAACCGGCGCATCCAAGTACGTTCTGACCGTACTTATTTGTGTGCAACAGAAGAACCATCCAAGGGTATTCGCCTATAAGTGCTTCCTTACCGCCAAATATTCTCCTGCCCGTGGAGTAGTTCTGGTAGCCACAGTTTTTCGGTAAAATATCAATTCCTAATTGTCATAAATAATGGGTGTTATTCCTTGAGTCATTTAAGACCCATATGTCTTAATAAACCTTTGGCCGAAGTTACTGGTTTCCTAGATAGAGGACGTTTAATTGTACGCGGAGCGCAATTGGCTCCATCTGTTGTGCTGACTCTCAACTGTGCCATTCAGATGGCTACAGTAGGAAGCGACCTGCTATTTTGCCAGGTACTTTGTTCCACGACTGCCACCCACAGAGGGCGAAATCCGCGTACAATGTACCTCTCGTGCACAACGGCTGGATCGTTCGTCGGTTGTCTCACCTATGACAGACTGATGAGGACTAATAAGTCCGAAACTGGTCTCTGCCTGGTGGGTTAAACTGACGATCGATCCTAGCTGTTGCACTAGGTGTTACCATAAGAGTAACTAAATAAGAGGCTTTTATTGGATAGGGCGGACCGAACATGCATTCACTGAGGCCATCTCAAGTTGTTGCAGCAAAAAATTGTCCAAGCTTTCAATCAACAAAAATAGAATGTATTGACTGAAATATTTCAATCAACGCAGAATGTTCGAGGTTTGAGGTTATAGTTTATCTTCAGTTCAGGTAGGTTGCCGCGTTTTGTGCATTAATAAATTTGTTTTGTTTTAGATTAATGTAATAAGGGATTTATTGAATTAGTCATCTGAACTGCCTTACTGTATTTTTATTCTTTTTTTTTTATTCAAAATGAGTTTACCTACTGGTAGAACTACACGTAAATGTTGTGCTCCAAATTGCAAAAGCACTTACTATATGAATGTCTGTAATGCGTCCTATAGAAATAAAAGTTTTTTCAAAATTACAAAAGACAGACAATTACTGTGGATAGAATCAGTTCGAAAATTATGTAAATCAGACTTTGCTCCGACAAACACAGATCATTATTTTTTTGAAGACCATTTTGAGTTAAAATGTTTTAAAAACAGTTGTAGGAATAGTCTGAACAGAAATGCTGTGCCGACATTATTTTTAAGACAAACTACAAGTTCACCTATTAATTGTAATAATGTCACCTTGGAATCCTCGGATAGTATCCAATATTCAGCAAAACAATTTGTTAACGTAACATTACAGAATTTTCAGAGTACGAGTTGCAAAACTTCAATTTTGGATGATTTTTCACCTCTAATTTATTTGCTAAATTAATTATCTTGATCCAACAGGAGCAAAATTTATTGAGTCACAAATTAAAAATTGCGAAAAAACGATCTATCTATAATTCAGAAAATAAAGCACTTGCTTTAGCAATTTACAAACGCTGGCCAAGGTGCTACAGGTTTTTACAAAAAATTGTTTTTACAAATGTTGGGATAAATGAAAAGTTGTTACGTAAATTATCAGAACGTGTTAGTAAAATAATTACATGAGATAAAGTTTGTTGTTTAGTATTTGATGAAATAGCTCTGTCTGTTGGTCTAAATTATGACACTTGTAAAGATCAAGTAACGGGATATGTCGATCTTGAGTCCTTGGGTATACAAAATGAGGTATCAAATCATGCTCTAGTGTTTTTGGTACAAGGTATTAGTAAACATTGGAAGCAACCTATTACGTATTATTTCACAAAAGATGTTATAAAAACAAAAGACCTACAAATTTTGTTAATTGAAATAATTTCAGCATTGCAGTCTTGTGGATTAAAAATAATTTGTACAGTTTGTGATCAAGGTTCCACTAACAGATCAGCTATTAGACAGTTAGTTTCTGAGTCATTAAATAAATCCACTTTTAATGTTAATGGCGAGGAAATTATTCCCATTTTTGACGTTCCTCATTTGCTTAAAAATACCAGAAATGCTTTATATAACAATAATATTAAATTTTCGCATAATAAAACAGCAAAATTCAGCCACATAGTAAAATTTTATGAAATTGATAAATCTAGACGCTTCCAAGGTTTACGAAAGATACATTACCACTATTTCAAATTAAATCGTAGTAATGTTAAAATGAAAGTAAAAATTGCAGCACAAAATTTTTGGTTTCATTTTCTTACGTGCAAATGGTGCGTCGTACGAGAGTAAGTCTAGGGACCGAATTTGCTGTAAAGTAAATGGAGATTTTAAAAATAATTTTAGTTTTTAGAAAAAGCAGTGGCGTACCATTTTTTTCTTCAAAAATGTTTAGTTCAAAGCTCGTACGGACGTCATTTGCAAAGATTTTAAAACATTTTTTACATCAAACAATGCTCCTTAATGATTAATAGGTGTGTACAAAATTTCATAAAAATATCTGGAGTGATAAGAAAATTATAATAAAAAAGTAAATTTTTTCTGAAAACTGAAACACCCTGTAGCTCAAAAATTAAGAGGTTTAGGACATATGTTGACATTAAGTTTTCTTCTTAAAATGACACAAGGATTCACCCCTTAAGTATCGGCATTCAATTAATAAACGCCCTGTATATCACATTTTTGCAATTACCACTAAAGTTGCTTGACGTAGATTGACGAAATGATAGAATTAATTAAAGAGAATAATTCGTTATATTTCAGTAGCGGAGATTCAGGAGAGCCTTATCATTAAAACTCCTGCTACACCGGGCTTTCCGAAGAATTAATAAAAGCATTTAATTTCCTGTCATGTTTCTAAAAAAAAGTGTCTTTTGCATTTTCTTCATAGTATAGGTCATTTTCTAGATATAATTTTTTTGTTCATATTCAATTTTAAAATAAACAGAAGTGTTCCAGATAGAGGCATATTTATTGAAATTCATTAGCGTTTTGTAGAAAATGGATCATTTTCAGATCAGCAAAGATTCGTGCATCGCTTTATTACACTCAAAAAAAAAGTATTTGGATCAAATGAGCAGATAGTTTTAAATGGAATTATTTGCTGTAAATGTTATTTTATTCTATTCAAATGTATATACTTTCGTCAAACTATGTGAAATATTTGCTGTAATCTATATTTTTTCTTAGAATATATATAATTTAACTCAAATCTTTTATAGTTTTGAACTTTAGCTACAATACCTCTTACAACTCATCATAAACTGCAAACATATTTGTTTCAAAACTACCAATTCCTTAAAATATACATATTTACTTAAAATTTAGTATTAATGTAGAAATTATTCAAGACAAATGTAGCATATTATAATCAAACTTATGTTTTCCTGAAAGAAAATTGTAGCAGGTCACAGAATGGCGTAGGTGGGAAGTAGCACGATAGATGGAGCCACTTACGCTCTGTGTATATACATCTTCTTGTGAGTAACGACACTAAAGCAGATGGATCGTTTTAATGACATAATGATGAGGACCATCAATAAGTCCCAAACCGACCTATGTCTGGATGGTCAAACTTACGAAGGAACACCTAGCTGTAAAGCGTAAGTACTGGCCCCATCTATCGAGACTACTTCCCACCTACGCCATGCTGTGACCTACAATTTTCTTTCAAGAAAACATAAGTTTGATTATAATATGCTACATTTGTCTTGAATAATTCCTACATTAATACTAAATTTTAAATATATATTTCAAGGAACTGGTAGTTTTGAGACAAATATGATTGCAGTTTATGATGAACTGTAAATAAATAAAAAAACAACAATCTGCTCATTATTTGATCCAGATACTTTTTTTCAGTGTATATGAGGTGCTATAGAAAATTTTGCATAATTTAAAATTACAGGTTGATTTTAAACAAAAATAATTTCTTTGTAAACAGGTAGCATTTGTTCTCATTTTTTATGATGATGTACAGACCGTCTCTTGAATGGAGACCATGGATCACAATTTATTATGCTTAATGTAGACCGTCACCTTGCAACCATTATATGCATGGACCAGTTCACTTTAATTGCTGCATTTTAAATGCCAATCGAGCAAAAAGGCACACTCACAGTTACCATCGTTAAAGACAATAATTACGATTATAAAATATATTGTAACATTTTTTATACTGCCGCAATTTGAAATTATACCGAAATTATATGGAATTACATGCCATCTGCGCTATAAAAATGTTCAAATAATACTAACTACTGAATTCTAGTTTGTGTCTTGCTCGGTGTGTATGTTATTACGAAATTGCTACAAAGTATTGGCTAGTACCTGAAAATTAATAAAAAATGCTTGAAATGAAACCTTGTAAACAAAATGCTAAGTTATTCTGTAGAAGAGTAGTCATTTGAATACTTATGTCAGGATTATCACTGTCATTAAATATATTTTAATATCAAAACGTTGAGTATTAAGTATGTATTTNCTACAATTTTCTTTCAAGAAAACATAAGTTTGATTATAATATGCTACATTTGTCTTGAATAATTCCTACATTAATACTAAATTTTAAATATATATAAATATATTTTAAGGAACTGGTAGTTTTAAAACAAATACGTTTTTAGTTTATGATGAACTGTTAGAGATATTGTAGCTAAAGTCAAAAATAATAAATTTCAAAACCATAAAAGATTTGAATTAAACTATATATATTTACAAACAATATAAATTCTAATAAAAATTATGGATTCCAGCAAATATTTCACATAGTTTGACAAAAGTGTATACATTTGAATAGAATAAAATAATATTTACGGCAAATAATTCCATTTAAAACTATCTACTCATTTGATCCAAATACTTTTTTTTTCAGTGTATCAGAACACCAGAATTGGAAGGTGATATATTACTAGAAATTGAAATTGATCCCCAGCACAAGAAACATTGAACTCGATCTTGACTGGACGAAATTGATTCTACCCTTGGTTTCTTGGATGTCCTGACTTAAATTCGCTTGATTCTTTTTTTGGACCATCTCAAATTCTCTGTTTATGAAACATCAGTAGAAAATAAGTCGGATTAAAACAATGAATCTCAAATGGATGTCAGCAAGTCAGACAATCTGATACCTAAGATATAGTTATTAACTTGTATTTTTAGTGATAGATATTTTTGGGATATTTTTCATTTTAAAATTAATGTGTGTGTTGAAAGTTTGCAGATTTATGTAGAAATAGACTCTTTAAATAGATACATAATGTGATATATTTCAAAAACTTAAACGTCCTCTGTTTTAATTGCCAGTGTTGGGAGAAACAACTACTCCGCGGGCTATATGCCCCGACCGGCATTTTTCACAAATTTTAAGGAAACAAGTAATTTAGGCCCTTGGTTGGATCTAAAATGATCCAAAGAATCACCTCTTTAATTTATGACATGAACTTAAAATACGCTCTGTATATTCAGGGTGTTTTGTAATGAATGGGCCGTACCTGACATCAAAATAGGCCGATCTAATTCAACTTACCTTCGTGCAGAAGTTAATAATAACAAACATATAGGGAGATGAAAAAGAAATTGTGCTTCTCCTATATTTTTTGACACATTGTAGATATTAGGACCAAATTTATCCCATTGGAAAGTTTTAAAGTCCTTTAGAAAATTACGAGAAACCGTTAGCGTTCACCTATAAAATATGGCAAAGTACTAAACAAATTTGAATTTTGCATCACGATAAACTCCTGTAGATCGATTTTGGTCAAAAAATTTTAAGAGATGCATCTTTGACCACCAGTTCAATTCCCATTCGTTAGAAAACACCCTGTAATTATAAAAGTAGTTTTAAATTGAATGATGTCTTCAAATGACACTAATGTTACTTACGTACCAGTAATTTTGCTGTCGTTTTTAAAGTTATCGTCCTTTCCACAGCACACTTTCGGATAAAAGTCGTTTATGCTTGGTTGTTTGCATATGGATGCCCTTAAAAAATCCCACGCCTCTTTTTTTGACAATTGCTTTAGGAGAATTGCACATTGTCTGATGTCAATACAGATACCACGTTTATGATTTGGTGTGTCACAATCTCTAACCAAATCTGAAAAAGATACAACAGTGCACCGCCGAGTGAAAAGTGAAAACGACTCTTTATTTACAGAGTGACCCGTAACTCACCTGTCCAACTTCAAAATTAAATTTTGTAGATTTAAATGTTTTTTTTTATTAATAAGGTGAGTAGACTATCATTCTAAAATTTGACTTCGAAATACGTCAGAACTGATAGGGTGTAGGTAAAAGCTACCCCAACATTTTATAGGTAGTTTTTCCAAATTTTATAGCGAATTTTAAAAATTAAATGTTTTTTTACAAATGAAATGTCTTGTTACACATAGATAGGACGTACTATGTACGTGTAAGATTGATTTTGATAGTCCTCCACACATTATTTGTTCAACAACTTTGAAAGCCCATAACTCTGTTGTTTACTAACGAATCGTGACTAATCTTTTTTCAAATTGAAGTTTTTTCTATGCTCTTTTAGTATATGTAATAAAATAATAAATTAAGGTCGTATTTAATTTTGTAACTAAGAAAATTTTTTAAATAATTTCCCTTCGTTATAAAAATGCACTATTTTGAGAAAAAACAATGGGACTACTGTCTAGTTCCATTGTTTTTTCTGTTAAATCTACCAATAAAAAAATTGGTGCGACTTCTGGTACTGCTCAGATTTGGACAGATCGTTAATTAGTTAATTTGTTTAGAAGGCCATAACTCGCGAAATAAAACCACTTACGGATTCCGGCTTTCGCATAAATTATTTGTCGGCAGTGAGGAATGATCGAGTGTTATCCGAAGAATCCTCTGTGATAACATCGCGATTTATTATTGTTTATTTAAAATGGCATAATTTGCGGCTTTTTACAAGTAACTTTTGACCGGATTGATATTTTTTGAGGCTCGAGAAGTCGGTTTGTAGATCTTTTAATGTCGAACAGAAAAGTATGTTATCATTTCTCTGTAGAACCGTCAGAAAAAAAATTACAGTTGAAAAACGCGAATTTCTAATGTTTGATCAACTTTTAAACAATGTCGCTCGCCTTTTTCAGCGTGTGGATACGGTACATATTATTTCTACACTATGTTTACTATCTGCTCACAAAAAATCAGCCTGACAGAAGAATTAGTTATTTATTTATTTATTTATTTATTTATTTATTTATTTATTTATTTATTTATTTATTTATTTTGAATAAGAAAGAAACAAACAGTTTAGAAATCACCTAATTACATGTCTCTAGAAAAACAAAAAGAAATGTATATACATGCACATATCTAACTTACCTAATACCAAATAAAATACAAAATAAATTTCAAAATAAACTGCAGCAAGGGAGCAGCCGGGCAAATAGAACCAGGACAATCAATTTCAAGTAAAATCTATATTACGGATAACTATATTAAATGTTGTTAATGTAGTATTAAAAGTGTCTATAGATATTCTATGTCTGTGTCTATTGAAAATATTACACATATCACTAATAAGAGTAGTAGAACTGATATAAAAAATTAATTGTGTTGGACGTATACGGTGGTCAGGTATATTTAAATTTATTTGTGACAATAGATAAGGAGCGTCTTAACCTCCATTCAGCATTTTATGTAAAAATATTAATTTTCGTTTAATTCTCCTATTTTCTAACTTACAGATCTTACATAGGATTCCTACATAGGAAGCAAATCCGGGACTAATATGATATTTTTTGTAATAAAAATACTTTATAAATTTGTTTTGAATTCTTTCAAGAGCATCCCTAAGATACTGTTTTGCCGGGTCCCAAATAATAGATCCATATTCTAAACGACTACGAATAAGGGTATAAAATAAATATAAAATAGAATTAATGTTTTTAAAATCAACTGTTACTCTTTTAATGAAACCCAAAAGTTTATATGAAGCATTAGTTAATTCATTCACATGGTTTTTAAAACTCAAATTAGGTTGAAAGTTAATTCCTAGATCTTAAAGTCATACATTCTAGACAAAACATTGTTATTATGTATAAACATAATGTTCAGGCGTACATGCTTTACTAAACGTCATGATTTTACATTCATCTAAATTGAAGAGCAATTTGTTTTCTACAGACCCGTTATAAATTACGTTTATATCATTTTGTAATTTTGAAAAATCATTGATATTAATGATTTCAGTAAAGAGTTTTAAATCATCTGCATACATGAGACAATCGGATGTTATAGTCTGTTGTAAAGCATTTATAAAAATTAAAAAAGTAACGGTCCCAAATTCGAACCTTGTGGTACACCAGATCTAGTTAGATATGTTTCAGAATCAGGACTGTGGTAACAAACAAATTGTCTTCGGTTCCGTAGATATGAAGAGAAGAAAATTACTAAATGATTACTTAAACCAAGTGCATGTAATTTGGATGGTAGTATGTCATGATTTACCCGATCAAAGGCTTTAGCAAAATCCGTGTATACAGTGTCAACATGTTTTCCCTCATGCAAAGCAATATAAAAATGAAATGGTCATTTTTGGGCTAGATTTCCTGGTCTAAATTATTGAACGTATTGAACCCTTAATAAATATGAAAATAAATAAATTAATTAATTAAATTTATCTTAATTCCGAATTATATTTGTACTCTAATATACAAAGTACTACGAAACACATGCTGCTGAACTAAAACTGAAATGGGAATTATAATATTGAACAAGGCAAAATCTTAACCACAATTTTTTAAATAAGTACAAAAGATAATTACTTTTTTCTACAAACGTCAAAAAATGACAAGGTTTGCGCATTGACAACAATATGCGAAGTGACACTTTTTTTCGGATTCTTACGTTACCATGACACCGTGCGCGAAATACTTCGCGCACTAGGGTGCGAAGTATTTCGCACACTGTATGTAAATTAATACGAGTTTTTATTAACAACAGCCACTTTGTTTCCATAGTAACAGTGAAAATTTGATTAGGAAAGATATTTTAAGCCAGCTCAACACTATTTTCTATAATAAATTAGGCATTTTACTTATTTATAATATTTTTAAGAGATAGATTTTGACGTTTGTAGAAAAAATATTGTTTGCATCTCGTGCTAAAAACTACTTTGGTGGTCTCGAATAATCCTCGTTAAAAAATTCAATTCCCGATCACCAAAGTAGCATTTCGAGCACTAGATACAAAAATAACTATTAAAATAAAATTGAATTTTTTTTATGTTTACCATCTCTTTAGTGGTATGGTAATAAGCCTATTTAAGTTGGAATATTTTTGCAGTTTGAATCATCTTTTGTATTCACATATCCGATTTTTATCCCCAGAATTACATATCTGCTAACATACCTTGATTGGAAATAGCTTCATCTTTTCCTTCTGTGGTGGCGTTTGGAGCAAGGCACGTCACAGAAACACAGAAAATTGCACATACGAGTATGAACAAATCGTTGGACGTTCCCATTTTGCTACTCGTCAACAAATAATTCCAACACATGATTGTGGTTGATAATCTTTGAACTTGGATGTCTTATCTTAAGGTTTCTCCCATCAAACTTAGGTATTACCAGTAGCGATCATTAACGCATAAAAATAAATAATTATATTTATGTATTACGTAGCCTGCGAAATCCTGTGAAAAATTGTGGTTTTAATTTTATTTGAGGCATATCTATAAACCAAAAATAAAATAAAATCCATTAACATTAGCTAAATTTTACTATACAGAGTGGCTCGTTTTTCATGGCTCACCATTGGCATCTGGGAAACCGTAAGATATACAGGGTGACTCAAATAAGAAAAAAAGTTGCGCCTTTTCAGGGTAATTAAAATAAGCCAAATAGATCAAAGATATCTGCTGTCCTTCCTGAAATATTGTGAAAATCCTGCAAATAGCGATTTTAGAAAATGCCATCTAGCGTCCTTATTTCACAATAAAATGACCTGACATTTGGTAGGTACTTAATCCGGACGAATTAGACCAAACACATGCCTGTTTCAAAAATCGGGCCTACCTCGAATTTTATGGGCTTAAAATTAATTAAAAAATACACAGAATAAAAGCCTAAATTTGTATATTTAAGAGGTCGAGCGTCATATTGTTTATAACAAAAGAAAAAAATTGCTCTTTTTTTAGTTTTTCGTTTATATTTACGAAAATAAGCCTCTAATCGACATGAGGTTTACTTATCGATTTTATTCCTGAGGAAATTTTCTACAGGGATAGACTTTTTTTTACATAGCAAAATTTTCGGTGAAGAAAAAACGTGCAAAATTTTCAGCATTAAATAAAAATAACGAACTTGACTGAAATTGGATGATACTACAGGAAAAGTTGCTCAACAAATACCCGCAGTCCGGATCCCCAATTTCATAATGGCGGTCTATTGCAAAATTATAAAGTCGATAATGCGAGCGTGTATAAATTCTACCTAAGTCAAGGTATTGAAATTTGGTAAAAAAGGAACGAAAGGTAATTATATTATCTCGCGTCTATGTAAATTTCAGATCTTTAAGTTGCAAAATAAAAAAGTTATTAACAAAAAATCAAAAAAAAAAACGGTAGGTAACTAGGGTCCTTATCGCAATTTTTTAATATACAGATTTCGAACCAATTGCATGAAATAGTGCTTAAAAAACATGAATTAAGAAAAAAAGCGTCTCGATCCGACCAATAGGAGCCGAGATAATTTTTTTTTTCTTTAAACGGTATTTTGGCTGAGCGGTAGCTAGGAGAGAGGAGCGCTGTGACGTCATAGTACCCACGCTGCGCTCGAATCTCAAAATTCTTACTTAACAAATGGATTGTAGCTCTTAGAAAGCAGGTACCGGGTTGCTTTTTTTTAAATCAACTTATTTTTTCCGCTCTTTCGAATGTTGTAAGCAAAAGTCTGTGAAAGTCATCGCCAGATCCCGAAAAATACATTTTTATTGACTTTTCACGTTTTCTTTTGGAATTTCATTGTGCTTTCGATGTTTTGAAAAGTAAAGACACCTTTTTCCGTATTTAAAAACATAAGTCAATTATTTCTTTGAAAAAAAAAATTATGATTGAATGAATACCGTGCTCGGAAGAGGTCGACGTATAAAATATCGTCTTAAAATTAACTGTTACACTTATTGCGTAAATTGTGTCTAGAATATTATTGAATTTTAACAATATCAACATTACATATAAGTATTGCATTTTATAGTATTTAAAAGAACTGTTACATTCAATTCTACCATGTTTAATTTTTCAAGTTAATGGTTTACGTTGTAGAGCACATGTCTTGAATGTGGCAAAATGAGAAAATTCATCGAAGCCTAAAATACAGGGTAGCCCATCGAAAACGTACCGCAAGGCATTACAGGGTAGTAATGAACGTTTCGACAAAATCCAAAAACAGGTAAAGTTTGCTTCTGAGGGGGACAACTTTTGGCGCAAAAAGCATAGCAAAATCTTCAACCCCCTAAGTGGGGGTGGCATCCCCCAATTTTTTTTAAATGGTAATGGGGGTCAAGTGGGGGGTCATTAGAAAGGGCTTTTAATTCTCTATACATCGATTCTTACTTTTTGAAAATCGATCCAATATTTTAGAAAATATGCAGCTTTGAAAATACGAACAATATTTTTGACGAGAAATGTGAAAATCGATTTAATTTTACTTCAAAACTTACGTATCGACTTTATAATTTTGCAATAGACCGCCATTATGAAATTGAGGATCCGGACTGCGGGTATTTGTTGAGCACCCCAACAGTTATCTTTTCCTGTAGTTTCATCCAATTTCAGTCAAATTCGTTATTTTTATTTAATGCTGAAAATTCTGCACATATTTTTTTTCACCGCTAATTTTGCAATGTAAAAAAAATTTTGTGAGCTTTCGCAAAAGCTTATCCTTGTAGCAAATTTCCTCAGGAACAAAATTGATGAGTATACCTCATGTCGATTGCAGGCTTATTTTTGGAGATATAAGCCACTAGTTTCAGTTAAGCAACATTCAATTTTTTTTTTCTTATGGGCGCTGTATTGGATCTTGGCAGTATCAGATAGAAGATGAAATTACGAACGCATTAATATGTGACACTACTATTTTTTTTAAGAATAACCCACAAAATTAAAGAAATTATGTTCCTGATTTTTTAAAATTTATTCGTGCTATAACAGTGCAAGACAGTTTACATATTTTTTTATGTTTAATTTATGTGTATCTATATATTTTTTTTCATCAACTTATGAATTAAAACTGGTTTAGAACAAACACTATCGCTTCTATTGTAAAACAAAAATGCAGTCATTATTATTCAAGTGACATCAAAGTTTAAGAAAAAATACCAATTATACAATAGTACTACATTTTATTCGTAAATACATGGTTTTAGTGAGACCCATATCTACGACATTGGTAAATGATAAGCAGATCTGTTGGTATGGTTTAGGACGTACTAGGTATAAGAATTAGGTACTGTACTAAAAATTACCTATTCCAATCCTATATTTCGAAAATGGATGACGCAATAAACCTTTTCATTTATTTTACCTGAAGAATGTCTCTTGAAGTGTGTAACAACGCTAGTAAATATCCCTTCATATTAAAAAAATATTCTTAAATAATTTTGAATATGAATTGATTAAGCTACATTAAAAAAAAAACAGTCTTAAAAACTTCTCGACTGAATGTTATTTATTACAACTTATACTCTATAATAATTTCTTTTTTACTTTCTGCACTGTATTTGTCTTCTTGTGCGGTTTTCTTATTCGTTTTTCTTCATATTTCTTGCCATCTGAGTCTTGATCCAGGGCATGAACTTCACTATATTTGTGTACACCCCCGGCCATCCCTTTACCCCGCACCTAAACCCGAAACTCACGACGCCCGGGGCGAACCAAGTTTCGTTATCGTTGACCATCATCAGGGGACCTCCTGAATCTCCGGCGCAACTGTCCTTTTGTCTCTCTCCGCCGGCACATATCTGAGTATCTATAATGGCAATTTTTTTCGAAGAGAATTTCTTTTTGCATTCTTCTCTGTCGAATGGGGCAATCTCTACATTCATTTTTACTTCACTCCTTGATCCTAAAATATAAATATTTCGAATTGTTAATGCTTTCATTTTTTATATTGAGCTATACAGTGTGTGTGTGAAATAATCGCGTTCCTTGAAAAGTGTGATAAAGGGCGTGAAAATAAGCAACTTTTTTTATTAAGCAATTGATGGTCTAAAACATTGTTTAAAATTGAAAAAAAATTTTCACTTGAAGGTTTAAACAAATTTTATACAGCAGTCAGCTGTACCTTTGATGTCGAAGCTGCCGCGCGCCGTTGTGTAAAATCGCTGTTTTGGTGGTTTAAATTTTGTAATCGAAAATGCTGATATTCAACATTCATCCGCAAAAAGCACCTTTCTTGTAAAATCCGGATCTTGTGTTATTTGATGTCGAAACCACGTGCAAAACTCCACATGGGGCTGAAAATCATTGTTATTTAGTGCCTGAAACTTTGTGCATGATAGGGGTGGACACTCCAGGTACCCCGTAACCTTCGAACTACGTTTTGCACTGTCCTACTGTCAGGTTATCGGTACTACTACGGTAACGGACCGCATACAAACAAGTCCGATTTAAATTGTACTGACGTTCTCCGTACATTAACACCATATCTGCTAGTTCTTGAACAGAAAACATTTTATACGCCGCCGCCGGCTAAGTAATACTGCAACACACAACGCACGTGCACAAGATGCACAAGGTCGGCTTGCATTTCTGGTTAATTTTCTAATTAACATTTTCGAAAACAGATGTATTTAGACCATTAGTTTCTTAATAAAAGTTGCTCATTTTCATACCCTCTATCACCAATTCCAAGGAACGCCCTTATTTCAGAAACACCCTGTAGTGCCACAAATAAATCATCAATCATCAATTCATAAATTTTGATTAGGAGTTGTTTTATATTGTCATTTATTAAATATGGTACATTACATACCATGCTCAGTCCTGCCCCATCCACTCAAGTAATACTTAATTGGAATTTGAGTCTCTTCTCTTAGCAGGCAAATGGGCTGAACGAAATCTAAAATATATAAAAGTGTTAACTGTAGTACCCAGTTTTTGTACAGAATGTTCAGAATCTAGTGGATCAAAAATAATTTTGTACAGAAAAAGAGTTTTCTCGAAAAAAACTGTTTTTTGGGGATAATTTTAGGGGTACTTTTTATCCCTTTAAAATGTTTATGGCAGAACAAAGAATCTATCTCGTATTTTTTTGTCCTCTACAGCACTAGGAATACAAAAATCCTTCTGCTTTTTGCCGTATCTAGTTCAATTTTATCAATTTTATTATATTTTCATCTTTATTAAAAAGATATAGTTTTTAAAAGTTCTTAGTCCTTTTTAATTTTTAACAGAAAAAGAAAACTGAAATGTAACATTGTTGGTTTTCTTTGTTAATAGATTTTATTTTAAATAATATTTTCAAAAGTGACGTTAACGTCAGAACAAATAAGGTGGTTAGGAGAAAGGAAAGCAGCTATTTCTAAATGGTATAGTATATCTACCATATTTTTGCTAATTATTACAAATTACTTTGTTATTTCTAAATGATTGTCCCACTTTACCATTTAATTTTTCAATACAATTTGCCTCACTTTTAATGTACTATCACCACCTGTTCTGTAACGACTTTAATCTATCAAGAAAAAAAATTGGTATTACCCTTCAAAGGGGGCAACAATATCGTCTTTCAAATGGTTCAATTTTCAGGATGAAAGTCAAGCAGAGCCACGTCTGGACTATATAAGGGACTATACAACTTTCGCTACTTTGCGAGTTCACTCACATAGTTACTGTTGTAGTTTCCTCTGCATATAGGTATTCGACAAGAACAGTTCTTGCCCGTTCTCAAAAGAGAGTGATCATGTAGTTCCCAGAATAAAATTGTGTGCAGGAAGATGGAGAACCTTTATGGTCCTAAGTCAAGGTTTTAGTGGGATAAAGATCAATAAATAAAAGAATACTATATTTTAAATCATTGCCAACGTGTGGGTGTTATTTTACACCATCCTCAGGGCTCGAAATTTGAAGTGTCTTTTGTCCAACTTAACAGTTCTAAATATTAAGAAGATGGTATCCAGTTACTTATATGTGTTACTTCATTCATTCATGGAACAAATTCAATGAGGGTTTGAATCTAAAGATTTTAAGATACTTTGAGAAATTTGCTGCCAACCGAAACCCATTGTTCAGTTATATTTAATGTTTCAGCAATAACAGATAACTTCGAGCAACAATATTCGAGAACTACTATTTCTATTTTGCTGTAAACACCGTGACTGGTTGCGGGTAATCTTCAATGGCTTCACAACTTCACCGAAACTCTTGTGACAAATATTTTACTTTAAAATATGGTGAAACCTGGGATCTGGAATCTGGAATTGTGGGGAGGGTAACTTAGAAACTGCAGCACTTGAACCCCATTGGGCCCTTTGTCCTTCCTTCCATTAGAAGATCAATCAATTTGAGCCGTTAATCAACCTATTAAAGAGAAAACGGTGGTGACGTTACTCAGGAGGATTTCTCTAATATAGGCCATAGAAGGCCAACGTTCTCCCAACACGGATTATCTTGTTGACGAGACGGCAGTGCTTTCACATAGCATATGCAGAACTGTCTCGTCTTCACAACCCCTACCAAGAGGTGTTTCACACTTCCTCATGTTGTAAAGGTACTTCCTTGGCCAACAGTGTCCAGCTTGAAAACCTATGACCAGGCGAAGATTTGATCTAGACATGGCCAGGTATTTTTGACCGTAACCTAGGGTATTCTAGGAACTCCTTAGGAAATTGACAGCTATTTGTTTCATCCCAACGTTTCATAAACTTTTTGTGGGTGTTTTCCTTAATAATTTCAACAAGTACTGACAGTGGAAGCACAGAGGAAGAACCGACTCCAAAAATATTTTAAGACCGATGTACTCCTGGCTACTTTATTGGCATTACACCGCTGTGTCCCTTAAATATGATGGAGCTATTTCTCATTTTACGATTATCCTTTTCTCTTTCTATGTAAACTCATTTTTTTGTTGTCGAACACATCATAAAACACACAATATTGAATGAACTGAACTCAAACAGAACATATAAGTAGAGAAAGATCGTCGCTATTGAACGTCATATAGATGTAGATAGACATAGTATTGCTGAAAAAGAAACATGACCAGACCAGTAGGTTTAAATCTGTCCTTACCAGACCGATGAGCCCTCTTTATACGAATAATAGCGATGTCGTTGTAATGCGTATCACTGACGGGACGATACTCTGGATGGGTCACCACTTTGATAACATCTCTCTTTTGGGTAGGTTCAGCACAGGACTTCCCGCTAAAAGTGCAGTCTTTTTCTGCTGTGGTGTTGTGATCTCCCAATATAACTAATTTCCTGAAAATTAAGGAGTTTTTCGGATGTTATTAGCTCTTTTAAAAAACAATGGTAGTTGAGGTATGTAATCCCTAGTCTTGTCTTGGGTTAGATATCGTTTATTAAATTGAAAAAAAATGTTCACTTGAAAGTTTAAACATATTTAATATAGCAGTCAGCTGTACCTTTGATATCGAAGCTGCCGCGCGCCGTAGGGCAGAATCACTGTTGGTGCTTTTGGTGGTTTAAATTTTGTAATCGAAAATGCTGAAATTCAACATTCATCCGTTTTTGGCCACTAAAAATTGCCGTAGAGCCTAAAGATGGGCATTTTGAGCTTCGACCCCATTCACACTTTTGATCAGAGGTACAAAACGAACAATTTCCCAAATTTTTAGCAAATTTCACCGGAAGACCGTTTTCCATATAAAATGTGCGGGGTCCTTTGGTCGAGATAATTTTGAAATTCTATAGACTTTATATCGTATGGCACATATTAAATATAAATCAATTCTCGTATATGTTTCAAATAGTAAAAATAAGTTATAGTGAAAATTCTAAACAAATAAATCTTTTTTAAATATTTTTATTTGTGAAGGCATAATTCTATGATTCGCAGAAGCCTTAATTTGACCTCTGTGAAGTTTTTCTACCAGGGGTTCTGAAATAAAGATAAACTTTGTGCCTTTACCATTCTTATACAGGTTGTCACCTAACGAATGTTACATACTTCAAGCGTATAACCTAGAATCCAAACGGTGTCGATTTAACAAAACTTGCTTAAACGAAAAATGTCGCAAATAAAAGTTACAGGGTGTTAAGTTTCTTTTTTATTTGTTGTTTTCTCCTTAACTCAGAATCCAGTTAATCGATTTGAGTAAAATTTGTATTTAGATTTTCTATTACTGAAATTGTTTTTACTGAGTAGAGCTGACTCAACTTCAGGGTTAGGTTTCCTGTAATTTTATTTTGTTCGATTTTACTTAAATTATTTTAAAATGAAAAATATTTTTGAAATTTCACAAATATATTACAAATTTTTTTTAACTGTAACTTGACAACTTTTGACAACTTTTGACAACTTTTTATGCTTATAGTACAGTCACTGAAGATGAATATCAGCTGTAACCTCCCAATTCTTTGAAACTGCATGGATTTGCATAAAAATTTAAAATAAGGCTCATCTTAGGCTCAAGTTCAAAAGTGACATAAACCCGATTGACGCTTTTTGTTTTTTAGGGGTAAAAACTACCCCTAAGTGAAAAAAATTGAAAAAATTAAGTTTTAAGCATTTTATTTAAACTGTTCAAATTTTAGTGTCGAACTTTATGTTTATTGTTCATTGTGGTTATAAACTTGCATGGATTTTAACCGTGTATGGACATTGTGTGAATAAGACGTTTGACATTACTTGATGTGACTGACGTTTCACGTTTCAGATGGCTGAATATGTAATTTTTACAAACTTATTGATTTTTATTGATATTCACTTGTTATTTTAGGTACCAGACTAACGATATTTCTACTTTGGAAACTTATGAGAGGCTGACTACTGCGAGCCCAATTTTTACTTTTATTAAACATAAAACAAATGAAGTGTTTCTATGGACATGTCATAATAAACTTTTGAGAATTCTTATTCGTAAAATACTGACTGTGCATGTTTTAATCTGCATGATCTTTATATATTTAGATTCTCCTATTTTTTTGCATCTTTTGACATCTATAACATCTTTTTTGCGTTAACTTTGAAATTCTAACCAAATTTTACTCGATTTTGAAAATTTTAGCTAAATTGGGCTATACAGCTTAATTTTCTGACTGTATGTCCATTCACTGCCTTTAATATTTCCTTTTTTCACTTTTCTAACAGTCTTTTCCCTGTTTATGACACTTAACGATTGAAATGTTTTAGAATTGTCTAGTCGTAGAAAACTTTTAAAGTTTATACACTAATATGAACTTTTGCATACTGCACAAATTAATTTGCAGTTCTACAACACTTTTAAATCTAGAAAATTATAAATTTTGACGACGCATTTTTAAAACGCCATATGAAACTTTTTACAATTGGTTAAGTTTAATTCGACTCATAAATACTTGCTGCAGGTATGCTATATTTTAATTTTATATAAGATTTATTGCATGTTCCTCATTTATGTGTGTAATTCCTTTCCACCCGTCGTTCAACTTGTCAGAATTTGTAATTTTTCACATTTGCTTAACCCAAATGTACAGTTTGAAATCTAACTTTACTAAATTGTTATTTACAATGGTTTTTAACTTTTTTATATTGTATGAGTGCATTTTATCAACTATTTAAAGTTTAAATTTATCTTTTAACATAATTTTGACATTTTGAAGCGTTTCATTTAACGATTTTATCTTATATTTTATATTACTACGAAACTTATTCTACTTTAAATCTATCCTTCATTTTACTCATTTCTGTTTTCCACATCCCTTTTATGTCAGTTTTCTATACACTATTAGTAAATATTTCAATTTATCCCAAAAATGTACATTTTTATCCCTTTTTTATATCTTTTGTGTTATTATAAGAACAAATTATAACAATATTTTTTACAATACTTACACTGGTCCTTTTATTTTAGTATGATAAGGATGCGTACAATGTGCTGCTGTTATGACGAATTTGGAATGTACTAAAAAACCAGAGCATCCATCTGCTTGAACGCCAAACCCGTCTTGGTATATGAGTCGAGCCATCCAAGGATATTCGCCTAAGGATGCTTCAGTGCCACCGTATATCCTTCTCTCGAAAGCCACCTTCTGCCGGCCACAAGATTTCGGAAAAAGTTTGACGCGTTTAACTAAATGTTGAGTGTTTTGAATCTTTATGCGGTCATTTATATTTCTAAAGTTATCATATTTCCCACAACACACATTCGGGTTATAGATGTCCTTGTTGGGTGGTCCACAACGAGATGCGAGTAAAAATGCAGATGCCTCTTTGTTTTTGACTTGCTTTAAGAGTTTGTCACACTTTTTTATTGGTATGCAATCTGCATGTTCGTGGTTTGGAGTTGAACAATATTTAGGCATTCCTGGAAGACGAAAATGATAATTTAAATTTTGTTTCAGATAGAGTCTATGCTGACAAATTACAATTTCATGTAATTTTACTGTTTTATTTGGCACAAGCTGCAGTATGATTACTTTTTGAAGCGGTTTTTAAATTTGCTAACACTTACCAGATTCTTGAGTCAAATCTCCTAAATCACTTCTAAGTTCCTCCGAGATCTCTTCACTCAAATAATCTGCGTCATCATGTGTTTCATAATAAATTTTGCCGGAATCAATTTGAGTAACTGACAATACAGATACACTAAAAATTGCGCATAAACAGATCAAGTTGGCTGAGCTACTCATTTTACTTTGACAAATGACTATTATTTGACTTCTGTAACTGTTCATCCTTGAACTCTAATGTAATCTCGGTTTAAAAACAAATCTTTGAATTAGCATATGCAAGCATCATTACAAAATTACATACAGGGTGAGTCGTGAGAATTGCATCAAACTCAAGGAATTGATTCTACACATCAAAATAATAAGAAACAACTGAAATGTTCTTATACGATTTTGTTTTCAAGCTATAACGTAACTACAAACTTAAAAAATTTCAAATCAGAGTATGTCTTGTTCCAAGTTCAAGAGTAAAATATTTGTCAGTGTCATTTTATGTTTTAATAGTTTAACTTTTGATTACACGTTTGTATGATCAAATAACTTATTCAAATTTATAGTATGCAAATATCATAGACCTTATAAACTACTGGACTCGCCCAGCTGTCATTTTGCATAAACGGCAATCGCACAGATGTGTGCGAGAAAGATAGAGCTAGTGCGGGCTAATGCTTGTTCAAAGAACTTCAACTGTAGCACGCTACACTTAATTCAACCAATCAGCTAGCTATACGCGATTTCTTAGCCCTTTTCTCTGTTGGGTCGTATTCCTGTTAGTAAGTATTCCTGTAAGTTAGAATTATTTTAACTACATTATGTGTGGCGGCTACACTTTGTGAAACTATGGTTAAGTTAAACATTTTGAAAAAACATTGCTTAGGTTTATATTTTTAATTATATTCAGATGAATGGCAGAAGGGACAGATGACGAACTTCTGATCTACAAAGACTATAAAAATAATATAGAGACTAGAAGACAGAAAATTTTCATTTCCAACTCCATTAAACATGTGTAGATATATATTAATTCTATGAGTAAAGCTATACTTATGGTATTAAGAATTAGGTACAGTACTCTTCAAAAAATTCTCTCCAAGTAACAAAATTACTAAGATACATATATTTATTGATAATTTTGTCAATATATGTACTTTATATTAACTCAAACTGAATTGAATTAGGTTTCTCTTCTTTTAACAATATATATTTGTACGAGTAATTTTACTTAATTATTATTAATTAATAAGAGCATAAGCACTATTTGTTTATAAAAAATTTCTGTACAAATTGAAGGTATTAAAGGGGAAATGTAATAACTTAAAAACTTAAAATTAAAGATATTTTATTATACATATTTAAAAAATATTCATAGGAACAATTTTCCAAATACTTTTTATAATGCCTACTTTATGTTTTCTCCATTTATTTTCCTCATATCGTAAGCTCCATCAGTTAAAATTACTGCAAGCTTTTCTGACGTAGTCGTTGCAAACAGTTCATATTTTCTTGCTTTACAAAACTACATAAATTGGGACTATAACCATGCTTTCTTCGTTCCACATACTAAAGAGAATTTTTGCTGATGCATATTATAAGCACAATTCAGTCGAAACTGGTTATATTCAATTTATTGTTAAAAATTAATTCAAAAAGTGACACATATAAGGGGGAAAAATTTTGACGTAAAAATGATATCTTATTTTGAGGATGGGGGAAATAATAATAATCTAATGAGTTATCATCAGAGACAACTCTACTTGGTCATGATTTTCACATATACTCAGAATAGAGTCAATAGTTTTACTAATTAATTTCAAATAACCTACCTAATTTCAAATAACTTGACTTTTACCCAAAAATTATACAAATTTAATAGATTACAAAAAAGTTATTACAAAATACTGGTTTTCATTTCTTAACTTCAAGGGTTAACTTATACATACTATATAAAAAAGTAGATTTGAGACATTATTTTTACAATATCTCTCTTAATTTGAAAGTTCATCATTTGCAGAACACGCTGTATAGCGTCTAATTAATATCCTTGTTAATCATTTATGAATGATTTATTTTTGCACTCAATATTTGGTTAATTAAAAACCAGGTCTGAGTGAAAAACGACTCATAATAATAAAATTTAAATCATATTATAGAAAAAGGCAACTGTAAATTGGTAAATTAGGGTAACTCAGAATAGAGTCCAAAAGCGACTCAACTGATAGTTAGCAGTAACTCGGATTTGAGTAAAACTCTCATTTCTGATGCAATAGTTTCAGTCAGTTGTACTCAACTAATATACACAACTAAACATAAAACATTGGGTAAGTAAACCTGGTATACTTAAACTAGCAAAAAGTTATTTATATTCATAAGAAGGGACCATGGATGACCCGTCTAACTATAGACCCATCTCCTTAACTCCAATTATATCCAAGATTTTGGAAAAGATCCTAAAGTATCAAATTAACGATTATTTTGAATCAAACAACTTATTTCACTCCTGTCAATTTTCTTTTCGTAATAAAAGATCTACCTCATTAGCAATAAACAACTTATGGCCGTTTGCACTGTAGTGTTTACTCCAGGATTAAGTCTGAACTTGGATTAAAATATAACATTTTGTTTGCACCGTTTCAAATCTATGTATTAATCTAGGATTAATTTAAACCCTCAAATTTGACCGCTTAAAATTGGATTAATGAGAAAATATAAATTGACACTATTGACAGTACTTAGCTGCTAGTTATAATTTTTTTAAATAGGTATTTCTTCCTTTTCCTGTGGACTGTGTATGAGTGAGTGGTGTTAAGACATCATTAAGAACTGTGAAATGGATTCAGATTCTGACTTTGATGTATTGGATGAATTTAATATTCACGAAATTATAGACTTTGGATTTTCTAGATATATTTGAAATGATCTATTTCATAATCTAGACAATATGACTTTTTTCCGCAGATTTAGGTTGACAAAAGAGACCACATTACATCTGCTAACTTTAATTGAAGAGGAGTTGGAATATCCAAGTGACATGTAAGTTTTACGAACACATGGCATGAACACGATGCAACTGGCAATTAGAATTTTGGAGTTATAAAAAGCCTTTATTCTTAACTTTATTTTGTATTTCTGGGAATAATAGTGTATCTCCTATCCAATAATTGGTTCTATGTTTGTGCTGGTCATTTGTCTGCTATTGCAGACTTTTCAGGGATGGACATATCAGCAGTGTCCAGAATAATTTAACGAGTATCATTTGCAATAGCTCGGCTTTATCAGAGAAATATAAAAATGCCAAACCCAGAAGAAATAGTTTGTGTGCAACATGAGTTCTATAAAATTGCATCATTTCCTAGGGTGTTAGGTGTCATTGATGGTACTCATGTTAAAATTTTGGTTTGAGAATTTGACTTTGACATATTTTTTTCCGAACATAAGTTAGCAGCATAATAAAATCCCTAAACAGTATTCCTAAAGCCCAGTTTAATTTAATCTACAATCGTCATTAAGTGGTGCAAAAACTGATTATTAAAACCTAGTTTTAAAATTAAACCAAGTTCAGTTGAACTTGGCTTAAATTCTAAACGGTGCAAACGGGCATTAATGCGCTCAGTACTGAGTGGTTTTGAGCATAGAGACATTACTAATGGTATTTTGTATGACCTTACAAAGGCATTTGACTGTGCGAGCCACAACATCTTAATACAAAAACTTTCGCGCTATAACTTTGACCCAAATAGTATCCGCCTTATTAAATCATACCTGAGTGACAGATATCAATTTGTATCTTTCAGTGTTTGACCATGAATTACAGAGTCCCACAAGGAGCTGTCCTTGGGCCTGTACTGTTTCTCATTTATATAAACGATCTACCAAATACTGATAGCATTTCCAAGTTTATCCTCTTTGCGGATGATACTACGATCCTAAGCAGTGCAGCTCAGGCCAGTGTCCTTCGTAAGAATGTTCAAACAACACGGATAACGTAAAGCAGTGCTTTTTAGCAAATAAGATGTACCTCAATCAAGACAAAAATTTTACCTATTCAAGTACCTTCATGACAAGCCATAAAATATAATTATGGGTCACTTGAGGATATACATATCAAAATGTTTAGTATAGTCTTGCCGAAGTCAGTTGAACATGTATAAAAAACCGAATCAAATTTAATGAGTTTCATAGGCGTCCCTAAAAAAGTTATCTGCTAAAGGTAAAAAATTATAATAATTTGTATATAATGTGTAGAAAATTTCTATTATATGTTCAATTGGCCAACAACATATTTTAATTATTTATGTCCTCAAACAATTTTATTATATTGNGAGCATAGAGACATTACTAATGGTATTTTGTATGACCTTACAAAGGCATTTGACTGTGCGAGCCACAACATCTTAATACAAAAACTTTCGCGCTATAACTTTGACCCAAATAGTATCCGCCTTATTAAATCATACCTGAGTGACAGATATCAATTTGTATCTTTCAGTGTTTGACCATGAATCACAGAGTCCCACAAGGAGCTGTCCTTGGGCCTGTACTGTTTCTCATTTATATAAACGATCTACCAAATACTGATAGCATTTCCAAGTTTATCCTCTTTGCGGATGATACTACGATCCTAAGCAGTGCAGCTCAGGCCAGTGTCCTTCGTAAGAATGTTCAAACAACACGGATAACGTAAAGCAGTGCTTTTTAGCAAATAAGATGTACCTCAATCAAGACAAAAATTTTACCTATTCAAGTACCTTCATGACAAGCCATAAAATATAATTATGGGTCACTTGAGGATATACATATCAAAATGTTTAGTATAGTCTTGCCGAAGTCAGTTGAACATGTATAAAAAACCGAATCAAATTTAATGAGTTTCATAGGCGTCCCTAAAAAAGTTATCTGCTAAAGGTAAAAAATTATAATAATTTGTATATAATGTGTAGAAAATTTCTATTATATGTTCAATTGGCCAACAACATATTTTAATTATTTATGTCGTCAAACAATGTTATTATATTTGTGGTAAATTTCGTTTTGTTCCATTTCAAAAGGTCCCCAAAATGCCATGTTGTGATAATATTAGTAAACTAAATATCCCTCTTATTTCTCCGCAATAATTGTAATATGAATGATTTATAGAAGGTGCCTATAATAAATTAAAATTACCTGAATCACACCAAATTCCGCAT